AAATATTCCTTGTCATTTTACCATCCCCAAAAGAGAAAAAATTTAAGGGAAAAGAAAAAGAACACACGTACACATTGGAAAGAAGGGGAAAAAGTTCCAAATGGAAATTTACTTGCTTGGTTTATAATAATCTTCTTGCATATCCAGGCTGAGGAATGTTTAAAGCGGGAAAAGGACAGGGTTTCTCATTATCTCCATTCAAGTAGTGAGACTAAGTTGCTTGAGGTTTGTTCCTGCTCTTGGAAGTGGGCGTTGTTTTGTTGGAGTATCCGGATTTGTTTAATAATTTGAGGGTTTCCATTAGATATTCTAATCTGTTTTGACTTATATCCTCTTATGAGTCTATGACCATACATTTTTTTTTTGGTCCTGTAGAAAGTACAGCATGAGTTGTTATCTGTTTATGCCACGCAACTGCTGGAGAAGGAGCACTCTGGTTGTCATGCATTGCTTAGAGACGATAAGGTACACATGCTGCTGCAAGTGACGAACCATTTTTTTTTCAATCCATTGAAGATCATCCATAACTTTTATGGGTCCACAGATAGAAGATTTGTCAAGAATGTATAGGCTCTTCTCCAAAATACCTCGAGGCTTATAGCCTGTTGCTAATATATTTAAGCAGGTCGTGTTCTGCTCGAGTCTTAAAAGTCAGCCTTATTTTCCAAGTTCTCCATTTCTAATATATAATGGCATCTTGAGTGCAGCATGTTACTGCTGAAGGTACAGCAGTTAAACAAGCAGAAGATGCTGCTAGCAACAAGAAGGTCCGTAATTTTATTTTCTGTTTACGGATATTTGTTTTTGTTTTATTTCTCTGTTAAGAGTGTATTTCTCTGGGAAATAAATCTGTTGTAATTATGGTTCTGTAAAGCTTGAAGTTTCTTATGCTCGCTTGTAGAATTCATTTGTCTAATTGATTTGTGAAAGTTAGCATCACAGTTGGATCTTTAACATATGGCAGGTATAGTTAACCAATCATATATGATGGGAAAGTGGATGCAGAAGTAATCCAGTTTTTTATGTTTATTCAAGCAACATAGCAAATAATGTTGAGAAAATTAATTTCGAAAAAGAGAGAATTTAAAATACCATTCTTCTGGTAACAACATAGTGAAAGAAGCAGAAATTGTTGTGTTGCTACTTTTGCTAATTGCATCTTTTTGAGCTGTAAACCGAATGACGTTATCTGTTTATATATCCCAGCTAGTTTTATAAAAGTGTGACCCAGCCTTTTCATGTCACTCCATGGTTTGAAAAGGTGCTGTAAGGCGTGCCTCACTGTAGTGCCTTGAGGCGCTAATTTTTGTGCTATTTTTCTGAGGCAGACGCCTCATTGAATGACAGCATGAGGCGTACGCTTCGAGGTGCGTGATGTATGTGCTTCAGTTTTTTCGTTACTTTTGACTTTCTCTCTTTTGTTTTTTAAGTCTGAACGTGGGGCTTTTTTATTTTGGCCCCTCCCAGATAAAACGACGTCTTGGGCACATCACTTCTTTTAATTGTTTGACCTAATTAATCCCACGCTTCACCATTCCCAATACACCCAAAGCTTATTCAAGATGTGTTTGAGCCCCATTTATTGTTGAAAACGAGTTTTGTAATAGTGAATTTTTGGATAATGTGTGGTTAAAGTAGGAAAAAGGTTTTGGGTTTATGTGCAAAATATTATATTGCAAGAATGTGTAGTTGAAAACGAGTTTAAGAAAAAATGAGTTTTTAGATAATTGAGATAAAAAAGGGGGTTAATAAGATTTCAAGCCAGCAAACTCATGATGGTATTTTTTGGTTTTTTTTTTCTTTTTCTGCATTTCATCTCCTTTCCCTTTCCATTTCTGTTTTTATAAAATTATATTAATGAGCGGTTGTATATTTTGGTGTTATTTCTATGGGGAATTTTTATGATTATTTATGGTTTATTATATGTTTAATTTTCTTTTTTTTTTTTGACTTAATTTTTGGTTTGTGGGGAGGCGTAATGAAGATAAAATGCCTCAGTACCTAGTTCTGCCTTTTTAAACATTGGGTAACTTCATTTGTAAAGATAACGATTTGTGAGAAATTTAAATTAGAAATAGGAAACACCATTCTTTCAGAAGCAGTGAAATATATCATTTGTTTTCCACTTCCCTCTACTGACTAAAATTTCACCTTAATATTTTTTTATCTTGTTTTTGCATTGTTTTGGAAAATGAGTTTTTGAAGATCCTTAACATAGCAGTTTGAATGTATCTTTTGCTGTATATATGGTCGGATTTTTGTCCATGTTTCTGACACTAAAAGGTGTCTTACAGGCAGAGAAAAAAGATGTCATTGGATTACAGGAACAGGTAAATTTTTTTCTTGAGCCATTTATAAGTAGTGTAGTTACATAGCATTGAAATGACTTAATCCTTGGCATTCAGCTTTTTGTCAGGAAAGTAATCGAGCTCCATGACGAGTTCATGGCGTATGTGAATGACTGCTTTTTAAATCACCCACTATTCCACAAGGTTAGAAATATAAAAAATACTGCACAAGTTTTCTAATCACGTCCTTTGGCACTATAGTTAATATGAACCTCCTATTTGTTTATATCCATTATAGGCCCCCGAGGAGGCCTTTGAAATCTTCTGCAACAAGGGCGTTGCTGGGAGTTCTACTGCAGAACTTCTTACTAAATTTGGTGATAATATTCTCAAAAAGGGTGGCAGTGAAAAATTGAGTGATGAAGCCATTGAGGAGACTTTGGAGAAGGTGCATTTCTAGTACAACTGTTTTACTGTGCTGTTACTGTCTACAATCTGCTAAAAGTCGAGGTTGAGGCTCTATTTATTTTGCAGGCTGTAAAGCTACTTGCTTATATTAGTGACAAGGATCTATTTGCTGAACTCAGCAGGTAATGTTCTAACTTGGTTGGGCTTTCATTTCGTAAGAATATAGTGAATTTTAACCATACTGGTCACTGAAACGATAGCGGAATTCGTGTTGGCCACTTAAACTTCAGTTAGTTCCAAGTTAGTCACTAAAATTAAACTTTGTTTCGCTTGGTCGCTAAATTTAAACTTATGTTACGATTTGGTCATTTTGTCTTTGCTTATTAGTTTGACTAACAGAGAAGCTGACACACAATCTATTTGGCAAATAATAACTGGACTGCCACATCACCTTTTCCAGTTGGCTAAACTAAGGGACATGATGGAGTGACCAAATTGTAATAAAGTCTAAATTCAAAGTCCAGCTTGAAACAAATGAGGTCTAGTGATCACAAGTGTATTTAGCCCTATATTAAGATGATGATGGATTGATTTTATTGCCAGGAAAAAGCTTGCTCGGCGGCTATTATTTGACAAGAGTGCCAATGATGAGCATGAGAGGTATCCTGACAAAGTTGAAGCAACAGTGTGGTGGTCAATTTACATCAAAAATGGAGGGAATGGTAAGCTCTCATATTATCTACATGCTGAAAATAGCTACATCGGACAATGTGATCTAAATATGATCTATGTTTCTCCCTTTTCAACTATTCCAGAAAACGGATTTAACGCTAGCTAGGGAAAATCAAACGAGCTTTGAAGAGTATCTTAGCAATAATCAAAATGCAAGTCCCGTGATTGATTTGACTGTTACTGTCTTAACTACTGGTTTCTGGCCAAGTTACAAGTCCTTTGATCTTAATCTCCCAGCTGAGATGGTAAGAATGTATGCAAAATCTCGTTTTCATGGAAGAGATCATATGACAGGCATCTTTCTTTATTACTTTGAACTTCTGTGTTAGGTCAAGTGCGTTGAAGTATTTAGAGAGTTCTACCAGACCAAAACGAAGCACAGAAAAATTACGTGGATATGTTCTTTGGGTATTTGTAATATCAACGGAAAATTTGAACCAAAAACTATAGAGCTGATTGTGACAACCTACCAAGTGATTTGATGTGACTAACTAATGTCTTTTTTACTTATAGTCACGTTTGATATCACGTAGTGATGGAAAGTTTTTCCCTCTTCGTAGGCTGCTGTTCGGCTTCTGTTCAATTCCTCAGATAGATTGAATTATCAGGAAATAATGACCCAGTTGAACCTATAACATGATGATGTTGTTAGGATGCTTAATTCCCTTTCATGCGCCAAATATAAGATTCTTAATAAAGAGCCAAAAACCAAAACAGTTTCTTCGACGGATGTTTTTGAATTCAACTCCCAAGTTTACTGATAAAATGAGAAGAATCAAGGTAATCATTGCCCCCCAACCCCACTTCCCCAAAGCCAAATGGGCGAGAGAAAAATGATAAGAGAGGTAATTGCATTGTTTTCTTGTAAAATGTCTGTTGGTAACTGTTTTCATGAAATTGCAGATCCCTCTCCCTCCTATCGATGAGAAAAGGAAGGTAATTGAAGTTGTCGACAAGGACAGACGGTATGCCATTGATGCCTCAATTGTGCGTATAATGAAAAGTAGGAAAGTTTTGGAATATCAGCAGTTGGTTATGGAGTGCGTTGAGCAATTGGGGCGCATGTTCAAGGTAACATGGGACATATTTATCTTCTAATTGGCCGTTTTATTTTATTTTGGACGAACTGATTCAGTGTAAATGTGCAATCTACAGCCTGATGTTAAAGCAATCAAGAAGAGGGTTGAAGATTTGATCACTAGGGACTATTTGGAGAGGGACAAAGACAATCCTAACTTGTTCAAATACTTGGCTTGATTGAAACGAGTGCTATAACTTTATATCCCCATCCCTCTGCACATCAGTGCAAAGACCCCATCCCTCTGCACATGTAAATGCTCCAAATCGTCTCAAGTGACTTCTGGTTCCTTCAATGAAAGGCTTGACAAAATTTACCCTAAAAATCTGACCACGGCGAGTCCAACAGATCTTGTTTTAAAAAAATAATAATAATAATTTCCATCCTAGCCTTCGAGATATCCAGCATCCTTCCGTCTTCTTAGTGCCATCTCTTGTATGTTTTCCTGGATGATGTCTTTTGATTCATGTGAAAAGCAGTTACCCATTTGTGTTCGAGTTAGCATATTGCCTTGCCAGATATTTTGTGATAATTTTTTGGGATAAGGTAAGTGTATTATATTCAAAGTATAAAAATAAAGTACATGATTATAGGGGCATACCCCAGAAAAACTAGGCTAGGAATATGTGCCTTCCTAGCACCAATAATAATAACATTGATTAGTGCTCATAACCTAGTCACGACAATAGAAATTATTTGCAGAAAAACTCCATGAGCATTGGAGCTATCTACTCTCACTAGATGGGACCAAGCCTCTACATAAATCCACTCTTGTGTACAAATAGAAAAAACAATGTCTCGAATAGCAACATTCATGTTTAGGAGTCACACCATGGGCCCTAGTATTATGCTCACGTCAAATAGCGTAAATCGAAGCCGCAAACATCAAACGAATAACAATGGACGATATTGACCTCCCACGAAATTGCTCCAACCAATAAAGAGTATCTGACCAATTCCACTGAAGGCCACCTTGAAATGCTAGACAAAGGCTGTATTTTTTCTGCCTGGTTCAGATTTAGCATTCAAGGTATTTCTTCCTTTTCATTGGTTACTGCTGTTATGATCTGTTTCTGGTGGAGAAAGGTTTCATACAGATTATGGAATCATATATTCACTTGTATTTTTGAGCAAAATATTTAAACGACAGCACTTTATTAATAGGCTAAGAGATACTTGTGATGCAATATTTTGTGAAGATTTAATTCGACAACTCCAAACTAAATTTGCTGAGACCAAAATTTGTACAAATGATTTGAGGTGTTGAAATGTGAGAATTCTTTGGAAAATAAAAAATTTAGCCTTGTTTTCTTAGTTTATATTTTATGTCAAAAGTTCCTTTTTATGTAGCCTATACGTAGGTTGAAAGCTATCATGGTTCTTATGGTAGGATTTTTATTTTTTCTTTTGTTTATGAGTTTTTTGAGGCAGTTATATTACGTTCAAAGTAATTTCTTAGCCTAAAGAAGTAACTGGAGAATCATAAAAATCACTTCTCTGCAGGAGCTAGGGGTGTCCAAAAGTCCCGAACCGACCCGGACCAGACCGAACCGAACTGAATCGAGCGGTTCTTTATAAATTAAATACCCGAATGGGTACTCGAATCGAGAACAGATGGGTTTGGGTTGGGTCTCGGGTCTAGACCAAGAACCGAAAAATCGAAAAAGAACCGAAACTAAATATTTTTTTTTATTTTTTATATTGAATTAATTAAATTATTTTATTTTTTCTATACAAATTAGCAAATTAATTAAATAAATCAGCTTATTTCATAATTTTAATTTTAAAGCCCAAATCATTTTTAAAATCCATTA